AAAACCAGAGCGAATACATCACAATATGCTAAGGGAACAATACCCAATCGAAAACAATCGAAAATTAGCAAGAATCTCGAAACTAGCAAAACCCGAGCCTCGGAGCCGCTTCTCGAAAAATTACGAAATTCACATCACCGGATTCCTCGTCTTGCCACGAGTCCATACATATAAAATTTACCAAAATCGGAGTTCGTTGGACCCTCCAAATTCCATTTTTACATCATAATTTTCTCAAACCCTAACTTCCATTTTTAACCTTTAATTCCTTGGATTTTTCAGTGTTAATCCATGATTTTACACCATAATATCATAATCTAAGTCTAAGAATCCATACCTGATGATAGCCCTCGAAACCCTCTTCAAAAATCGCCCAAAACCTCCTTAGTCCGAAGTCCAAAATGTTTCTTCTCTTTCAAAATCGTGAAAACACTGTTCACTTAAACTCAGCCAGGTTTCGCTTCTACGGTTGGGATACCGCACCTGCGGCTCCCGCCTCTGCGCAAAATAACCGCTTCTGCGGTCTAACTTAAAATCCTCAGGACCGCTTCTGCGGTCACCACCCGCTCCTGCGATGTCCGCTTTTGCGGACTGCCTTCCGCTTCTGCGGAAATTGCCAAGCCCTCAAGGACCGCTTCTGCGATCACAGCTCCGCTTAAGCGGCTCCGCTTCTACGGTCCAAGACCCGCAGAAGCGAGAATACCAGAAACAGCATGCCTTCAGCTGTATGAAATTCCAAAAACTCCCTGTTAGCCATCCGAAATCATCCCGAGGCCACCCGAGACCTCAACCAAAAGCACCAACATGACTTAAAACATTATCCAAACTTATTCCAATCATCAAAACACATCAAACAACACCAAAATTATCGATTCTCATCGGATTCAAGCCTAAGTTCTTTAAAAACTTCCGAAACTCGCATTCGATCAAAAACCCAACCAAGCGACGTCCGACTGACCTGAAAATTTGCAGACATATCCAAAATCACCTAACGAAGCTACTGCAACTCTCAGAATTCCATTCCGACCCTCGGATCAAAATCTCACATATCAACCGGATTTCGCCAAAATGCTAACTTCGCCAATTCAAGCCTAATTCTACACCGGGCCTCCAAAACCAATTCAGATCACGCTCCCAAGTCACAAATCATCTCCCGAAGCTAACCGGATCATCGGAAATCACATCCGAACCTTCGAACTCTTAAGTCAACGTCCGGTTGACTTTTCCAATTTAAGCCTTCCTTAAAGAGACTAAGTGTCTCATTTCCTATCCAAACCAATTCAATTCAACTCTAACTCACTCGTTGCTGATAATGAAATATGAAGAAGCAACAAATGAGGAAAACAGGGCGATAATACCTGATACGACGGGTCGGGTCGTTACAGTTGAGTATCATTCTTATTTATCAAAGTTGGAGATAAAGTAGTATTTCTAGTGGTTAGTTGGTGGTTTAGTGATGGTGGAGACTTGTATTGGTTAATTGACAAGTTGTCAATTGTTTGGTATGATATTAGGATGTTTGGTTGTTGATTTGAGACAGAAAATTTTTTGGGATGGTCCAAAAACAGGGGAAAATCTGTCCGATTTTCTGTAAAATTACCGTTGAGGCTTACTTGGGAGCACTTGCTCCTAAGCGCCGGTCACAATCCTAAATTGGGTTGTGACAAAGTTGGTATTAGAGCTTAGGTTATTCTTGTGACTATGGAGTGCACGTCGGTAGTAGAATCTCAATTATGGTTATGTAGCCGGCCATTCCCATAATCGTGATTCTGCGAGGGCGTGATAGGATGTGTCTTGTCTTTCTTTCTTATTCCTCCCTACGTGTGTGGCGATTAGGGTCCAATAACTGAGTGTGTCACCATTTATTTTATTCCTGATTATTTCTCGGACAAATCACTCGAGATTAAAATTTAGCTAGAGGTTCAAGAACATCAAATACCGCCAATAAACAAGAAATCATCTCCTAGCAAAGGGATGCGATTGAAGTAGTAGATAAGTCTAATGGGAGGGTCATTTTTGCCACAATGAGTGGCTTTCATATTGCTAAGATCTGTAATAGATGTAATTCATTAAATTAATACTAGTTCATCATTAAAGCAATAAGGGACTGCTATCAAAAAGGTACTTACATCCATACAAAGTGAAATTGAAATCTTTATATAATGGGTTGACAAGATAAGATTGGGCATGAAAATATGGCTCTAGAGGCCAAAAACCTAGTTTGACTAAGATTTTCGGGAAAAGAGATCTATCCTTAATAGAGTTTCTAAATTTGAGACTATCGCTTTCTTTGCTGATAGTGTTGGAGGATCCTTAGAGGTTCTTGATGAAATGCTTACTAAAGAATCTTAATATTTGTAGGAAAAAGGATTGTTTCTATTGCCTCAACCATGTACAATTTATATAGTAAATTCAGAAGGGTTCAAGCTAAATACATAAGTACAACAAAGATATTCACAAGAGTTTGAGTGTGACTATAATTAGGACTCTAGCTAGTGTAGCTTAAGGTAAATGGATTACGTTGATGAGAATGATTTGTTAGGCTTTGAATTATCCTTATCATGCCCCATTAAGATGGGCTCAATCTCCTTGAGGCCAATCTTGTGAATGAATTGTCCAAATGATCGTTTAGGCAGTGCCTTTGTCAAAGCATCAGCAAGTTGACTCCTAGTAGGTATGTGACTTACTGAAAGCTCATTTCTTTCTACTTGATCGCGGACGAAGTGAAAATCAATGGCCACATGCTTCATTCGACTGTAAAAGACTGGATTTCGACTTAAGTAGGTAGCACCAATATTGTCACAGAGTACACCTTAGGAGGACTGGACATGAAAACATGCAATTCCTTCAGTAAGTTTGTGATCCAATTAAGTTCAGCTACAGCAGAAGCAACAACACTGTATTCTGCTTCAGTAGACGATCTAGCAACTGTACGTTGCTTTTTGGAGCACCAACTTATTGGATTATTGCCAAGAAGTACAACATAGGCAGAAGTTGAGTGCCTGGTGTCTGGTATACCACCCCAATCAGCATCTGAGTAAGCTAGCAACTTGAAAGAAGTGGCAGGCGTGAAGTGAAGACCATAAGTAATGGTACCCTTCAAGTAGCGTAAAAGTCTCTTGGCTACTTGCCAATGTTTCAGGCTTGGTCGATGCTGAAACTGAGCAAGTTTGTTCACTGCAAAACATATATCTGGACGAGTGAATGTTAGATATTGTAAGGAACCAATAACCTGCCGGAATAACTTGGCATCTGCAGATGATGATCCATCATCAAGTGAAAGAGGTTCATTGGTTGACATCGGAGTGCTAACACTGTTCGCATCGAGCATGCCGAATCTTTCTAGAAGATCAGCGATGAAGCTGCTTTGGGTGAGAACCAAACTATGAGCATGCTGCAAGACTTCAACACTAAGGAAAAAAATGTAAAGAACCAAGATCCTTGATGGAAAACCTGTCACCTAGTAGTTTGATGGTACTTTGGACATGAAAAGAGTTAGAACCAGTGACGACGATATCATCGACATAGACCATCACAAAAAGTAATGAGCTGGTAGTACATTTCAGGAATAA